AGACCATGTGCATGGTCGGCGAGCGTCCTAACCACTATGCCACCGACGCACAATTGAAATGATTAGTTTATCATAATTTCAAATGTCTATGGGCAAACCTCCTACTGACTTTATTTGACTTCAGCTGCTTTTAAGGTGCTCAGTTTCGAAAGCTTATAATAACTAGATATATTAGTGGATAAATGAATCATTTAAAAAAATTCCTTATGCTTTTAGTTTGAAGATTGTCATTAGTAGAGAAAATATAAAGAAACAATAACCACACCAAAATCCATGTCTACATTAGGGAAATGTGATCTTAAATAAGTAAAAATAGAAGAAGGCCACGAATAAATAATGAGCTAAAAGCTATACACACCAGTTATCAAGTGCCGGTTTGCAGGAATTCGATTGATCACAGGTATAATCACGAGCCGACATCAATTAGAGAACCATCCACATATGACGGAGTAGTGAACAGCTCCTTTGTCCCTGTCTGAAACGCTTCAGAAATACACACCCATCACGGTTCGGATCCAGCATCTTCAGGTCACAAGCTGAACTGGTAAATCATTCAGCTACAGGGAACCGATCAAATCTCTCATGAATTTCATTTTCTCACGACTCTCAATGTATACAGCCTAATCACTAGTCAGAGTTATCAGTGAGAAACTGTTCGCTTACCTGACTTGGTGTATCCTGCTTGTCAGGACTTCTCGTTAGAACTTATAGTAACTTGCTGAATAGAACAAGTCACTTCAGATACATAGAAAGCATTTGTATTAACCCAATACAAAGGCAAACTTACAATTCTTTTTTATTATGGCACCACTGGGTCAATATAAACCTGACAGGGTAGTCTTCTCCTAGATCTTCTCATTAAGATCAAAACTGGTTATTACTGCGTAATCGAAACACTGCAACTTTTATGAAAAATAAATCATGCCGGGTTTGTTTCCAGTCGAATGACTTATTACTCACTAGATTTCTGCGAATAATCAATGGGTTCTATTGTGAAGGTAAAAATGTGCTGTATGTGGAAAAAATGTACCCACCTTTATGTAGGCTTATAATTTAGCAATTTAAGCATAGAATCAGATTGACATATGGGAGCTACACAGTTCAAGGCGAAGATTTATCATGGATTCCTCTGAAAAGCAGAAATACTCAGATCATAATAAATGATCTGCCTGATACTATGTATGACAGTTAAGAAGGCAAGCAGAATTTTTGAATCAGTTCTCCTCTTCCATCTGAGTCTGTCATGGGCAAACAACTGACGACTTTTAAAGAGAAAAACAGCTGTCCGGTGTTTAAATCATGCTGATAAGGCTGAAAAGCACTAATGTTTATACATCACTGGTTCCTAACTACCTTTATCAATCAGGGGTTTGACCGAGTTAAAGATTAAGCAGCGTAGTATTGCAATCACACCAATGACCTTGGGGCACTCAGTCATCAAGTTAGTGCAGCCACATAAACTGCACCATAACCATGAGTAAGATATGGGATATCTGGCAATTTTAAGCCTAGGTATGGAAAAGATTAAGTTAAGACTGACTGAAAACGAGTTAGGATTAGGTTGACCTAATAAGGGAGATAATAGTGTTGGCTCGAGTTAGATTAGAGTTAATTTAGGGATATTATTACGCTTAGCTTAGGCTAAGTGAGGATTAGGGTTAGGGTTAGAAGACCTAGATAAATACATGCATAGAATGTGGTTTAATTACTCTGTTGACAGTTCATTGCAAAACTGAGAGACATTTTTGTCACACGCCAGACAATTGTGTCCTGTGTAGTATGTCCATGTGGTTTAATTCGCTATTTTGAAAAATATATATATCATCTATATAACCATTGTAATTTCAGGTAGTCTGCAGCTGATGAGAACCTGTGAAATAGAATGATATCATTTTATACTGCAAATTTCGTCTTCCTTTCTTTATCGAAATTTATCAAGGGAACCAAATGTATGAATATGTATTTCTGTTGCGCAAAAATAATCTTATCATGTGATTAGTGCATTCACCGTCATTTGTGCGTTCTGACGTTCGGTGGTTCATGTTTAACTTCCCTTTGAATCTAATAAACTGAAAGCACCATGGTGTCAGACATTATAACGACTAGTATGGAAGATAATTAGTCTCGAGGCACTACCTGGAGAACTGTCACATCAAGAAAATCATTTCTAACAGTCTACTGAGGACTTTTGTCAACAGCTACCTTTGCTTCATACTGAAATTAGATGGGTGACAGTAAAAGATTATCAACAAGGAACTCGGGCAACAAGCCAACCAAAAACCTATGGCCTAACAAATATGCAGACGAAAATGGAGATGGTTTTGACATAAGCTGTGGAGACCCTCAAGCGAAATCACATGCAAGGCCCTCGTGTAGAGACTGTGCATAGTGGAAATGAAAGCTTATGGGCAGTCATGGAGGTAGCTGAAAGCGATTACAGAGAACATAGTGAAATGGTCATGTGCTACTTAGATCGCGTTTTCCACTAGGAACCCTAGGGAATAATAATATCTAGAAATTATGAACATATACATTTGAGACTGATTGCATATATAGGGATATAAAGGTAATCAGCTAATTCAGGAAGTCGGTACCGTACTAAGAAGTTATGACAGCTTGTAACCGACTAAACATTAATCTGTGTCAGGTCTAGAGCTGTTTTCACTTGATATAAAGTCAAAGTGAGCTCGAGTGATTTTATTGAATATTTAAATTGTCACAGATAATGTGTTTACATATTAATTTATCTGCTAATACCTTCACTTTATTTGAAACACTAACTTAATCGTATTTATGTGATCGTCTAAGTTTTGTAGCATCTCATTAAGTTAGAAGTGTACCAGTCTGTATACTGTTCGTTGAATATCTATCTTGTTCCAAACATAAATTCAACTGAATACTTAAAAGGTCAATAAATGCGACATCATTGTAAGAGAATGGCTGTTGGGAAAATCCCTCATGAAAGATCTAATTACAAGATTGATACTTATTTGGATGTTTCGACTAATCTTCTGATTATTATCTGTTTTTCTCCTAGACTGTATGTCATCGTTCTGATATTTGAATAGCATATGCTGGTTAGATCCTTATTATTTTTCTTTATCTCTGCTTAATCTTTATTTCTAATGCTTCTCTTTTGGTTGTAAGACCGTATTGGTAATGTGTTGTTTAACGTTTGCCATTTCGTTTGAGTGAGTCAGCGTCATTCTAACCCTGGGATGTCTGCAGGAAGCGTTAGCGTGTAATTCTTTTAGACTGAGTTTTTGATCCCATCTTGTTGGAAATATTCTACTTGATTATAAGTTGCTTCTTACTGTTGAATTTTAGTTAACTAATTTTGTTCTGTAGTAACTGTTTAGAACTAGAAATTCTTCTTGCCTGTATAGGTGCCTAACGACACTGTTAGGGTGATTTTGACTTTTTAGTGTTAAACCTATTGAATAGAACCACAGATCTGTCAACAGTAATCGTCTTTTTGCTATCACTGAGCGTTTCGTGACTGTGTCTGTCTTAAGAGAGGTTTGCCACCTACATAATAGAACTCAAAGATTGATTCCCTGCGTTTAGACCACAACGAGTCGTTACAGTCGGAATATATAAATACGACTGTCATATGTTTCCCCGCATCACTCGCATCAGTGGAATTCCTCTATTCCTTTATGATGAATAATAATGGTAATGATTTTTGTCAGATCGTAAACGTAAACCTGCGTCGGTGGCATAGCAGTTAGGATGCTCGCCCACCATCCACATTGTCCGAGGTTCGATTCCCGGCCACAGACGCACTCCTTTACCTCGCTGAGCTAAGCTTTAAAAAAAGCTGACAAAGAAGAAAGGTTGGGCATGAGGCTAGCAACCACATCCTGTAAAAATAAACACTGCTACAGAAACTTCAGTCCTCTAGCATGTAGCCCTATGTTCCCCTGGGAACATGAAGGAGTAAAAAAAGAAAAAACAGTAAACCAAGTACTTATTTGCATTTTTTCTAGGTATAAAGTTGTTTTCCAGTAAGTGATCACTATTTACACATAAATTATGTGTGGTTTAATTACTCGTTTTACACTGATTAAAACCGACGTCAAAACGAGTTTATCCGTTCACAGCCCAACTTTTGAGATGTGCTTTCAAGCATGAGATTATTGTTACTTTCGACTTATTTAATCTCCACCAAAACGTATGCATATATGCTGCATAAATCCCAAGCATTCTGGTTTGTTTGCGTACACACACTATTCCTACTTCAAATACTACTCCCCATTCAAGTAGTCATGTAACATATAAGACACTGCAGTAATGGTTACAACTACTTTTTTTTTAAACTACTCTAGAACCATGCATAATTTCTAATGAAGAAACTGTAATGTTGCCACATGTGCCAATTCGATTGGCTTTTGAATCATGACAGTTAAAAGAAACCCCGATAAATGTACCAGACTTCCATCTAGTTCACTGTAACTCCCGTTTCTATTCATGAGGTTATTCGCTTCCACGTAAATATTCCCCCAATAAACAGACCTGGATCTTTAGATCATCCTGTAAGAACCATTTCAGCTTAGTATCTTCTTCTTGTATAAGTGAAATTTGATATGTGTTTCGCTTTAATTTATCCAGCCTTATTTGTGTTATTCAAGTAAGTGAATTGAATGTCAAATAAAGAGTGAAGTAAACAAAGTATTGAACCATCATTAAGAGAGACTTATTTGTAAAATTCCTTGAGAAACATCAATAAAAGATTTACAAGGTAACAGCAAGATAATTAGTCTTTTATTTATACAATGTCCCAGAAAGAAACATTATACATTATCTAATGCTTATCATTTGATCCCCAATGAAAATGTTACAAGTGCTAAGAAATTTATGCAAATACTATTTAGAGAGGTGTTGAATTGACCTATTTTTAAAACAATACAAAGCTATTATGTATTTCATTGAATATTGTACACCTTGAAATTTATGTATGCTTTTAACCGATTGATTGATTTTTTTCCCTCATTTTACAGATTCAAATAGCAACTTTATGCATATCTGTAGATTTAAGTGCAAGTGTAATGCTGTGCTGTTTATTCTTTCCAAAATTATATATCATTTATTTACATCCAGAGAAAAATGTCCGGCGTTTAACAATGAATAACATGACAGCTAAACAAAAATTTGCTAATTTAGTTAAACAGAAAGCATCAACAATAACAACTTCAACAAATGTGTGCGTGTCAAGTTATGTCTCAGATAATACTAGTTTAACAGTGAGTAGTAGTACAAAAACTGGTTTACAAACAGATTCAGACAGAGGAATATTAGTCAGTCCCGCTGGTCCAACACAATCGAATATGACTAGTCCAAATTGTTTGAAAACAGGTAAGACAGACAGTGAAATATTTCTTACTTAATTGTTTAGTGATTAACACCATTGAAAGTACTTCAAGAGTCACCGTTTATAAATCGATTAATGTTAGCATCTAATAGCCTGTCAATTAAAATTATACCAGAAACTGTACAGAAGTGATACAAGTAGAGATGGAATAGGAGTCGCTGAGTTTTGATGTATGGTTAATATGAAAATTAGATAAGGTAAATGAGTAATGTGTATACGAGCTTACAATCAACATAAGTATTAGTTTCAAAAGGTTTCAGGTTTAATCGCAAGCCGACATCAGTTAGAGAACCATCCGAAAACGACGAAGTACTGATCAGTTCCTTCATCCCATTCTGGGACGCTTCGGCAGTATGTACCCATCACGGGCAGAACCCATCACCTTCACGTCGCAAGGTGAACTGGTAGATCATTCAGCTACAGGGAATCGATCAAATTGCTCATGAGTTCCATCTTCTGACGATTCTCAATGTATACAGCCTAATCACTGGTCAACGTCATCAGTGAGAATCTGTTCCCTTACCTAACTTGATGTATCTTGCTATTCACGACTTCTCATTAAGACTTCGGAGTAACTTTCTGTATAAAGCCAGTCACCAGTGAGCATCCGAGTCATTTTCAAATGTTGTTTTGCAGGGATTAGAGTGGTTAGAGAACCATTGAAAACCAGGGATTAATGAACAGCTGTCTCTTCCACAGTAAGCACCTATCGGGATTTCGAACCGAGGACCTTCCAGCCACATTGCGAAGGGTGACTTGTAGACTATGGAATAAGAAAGACGTAAATTCTACAAAGAAGCAGATAACCAGATGCGTTACGCTGGTTGTCAGTTCACTGGGATTACGGATAACGAGAACAATGCCTAAATATTGATATTAGTGTGGTGTAAACCCAAGAGTGATGTTCATGAGTGATCATCAGGTGATGAGGAATTTAATATAGGAAAAAGGGAAATATTGTATGAATACAAGAGTAAATGTGAAACTTATTGTGTGACTGTGGAGTGATATACATAATTTGGAAAGTCACAGAACTGTGAACATTAGAAATAGTAGTATGTCAATGAAACAAGACTGACTGACTACTAATCCATCTCACACTTGCACCACAATGACGTCTCCACTGAAATCTTAATCTGCATTTACAAGATATTATATGCTAACATTAATTAACTTTTAAACGTGGAGGCTGTAGAAGAACTTGTCGAAAACAACTATTCTCTTTATTTATTCCTGATTTGAATACACTATACGGATGGTATTCAGAATACTAATGCGTTATTGAATGTTTATCAATAATCATTCACTTCCCTTTCAATACACTAGTACAGACTGTACCAACAAGGTAATATCATATGTCACTCTTTATTAACAGTATCCCTTGGGTGAATATGAACATTCTGTGTCATAGTCATATATGTGAAATAGCTTCTGGTCCATAAGGCTCAATGATGCTTAACTACTCATTTAATTTCATATCTGCATCATCCTTAATATATCATTGCCTTGTAATTACAAAGTTTTAGCAAAATAGTTTAGTAACAACGATCACAGCAGCACACAGTTAAGTAATCTAAGCAAATTACTGTAAGTCAGATGAATGAAATTTAGTCAGTTTTGATGAGAAGAAGACTTTTTGATGCTAATTTCTTTGCATTGCGTTTATGATATAGAACAGTTTTACAAGGCATAGTGGAAAACTGTCACTTCAGTAGAACTGATGGAGAAGACAACTCATAACAAGAATTCATCAGCCTACTACACATAAAACTTGCTAATTATGAGGTTACAAGTTAATGTCCCCAATGTGGCATCTCTACTAGACTTGGTCCCCTGCTCTCATTATCAGTTGAGAACGAGGCAATCCGAATACATAAAACTCCGATATCATCTGTTCAGAGACAAGTTTAGGTGAATAACGACCAAATCAGTATATTATTTCATGTTGTCCAATTATCAGATCAACTTTTTTTTATCATCATGATAGTCATTTATGCTGTTGACACTTTTTTTACATGAAATGTCTAACTCAACTGATTATAGCTAGCAGATAACAGTGAGATAAATTGAATGGAATTGTAACACATATAATAGTCAATCATAATGAATGAATGAATACATCAGTGAGGTAATTTACACAGCTCAACCTTGAGTAATGAATACGATGGGTGATATGTAAGATGGATGATGGAAAATTAGCTGAATGAGGTAAAAATATAGCCAAAAAATACACAAAAGCTTGTAAGTATCTTACTAAGCCTATGAGTGACATTATTATTACTGCTATGGATTCCAAGAGAAACATATGGCTTCAGAAGTCCATCTCCATTCATCCTATCCTCTTCAGTCCTCTTTAACTCACTGCACGAATCTCCATAAGTTCTCATCTCCTCTTCACACGATCTCCTCCATGTAACCCTCGGAAACACGCCTAACTCGACACTTCTCATCCGGGTTGCACTGAAGTGATAGTCGGGCGTGCAGCGTCACTCAAACAGCCTCCTTGGTGTGCATCTAGTCAGTCTCCATTCTCTTTGGCATAATTGTTGAGCGACAAGTTCTCGGCTGTTTATTTGCTAGAGTTCCTTGTTACTAACCTTCCTGACTGGCCATCTGATCTTCAGTATGGAGCCAGAGAAGGCAAATGTTGGTGAAATTCCGCAGCAATTTGCTGGAAATGCTTTTCGCAATGCAACAAGTCTCTGAATCATATCGAAGAATTGACTTAACTCTATTGTGGAAAAATGGAATTTTGTTGTTTATTCTGAGAACAGCAGCAGAGTTCGACAATAATTTCATAATGATGAACGTCCATGTTGTTTTTCTGATCCTGGTTGGCGTTGACATCCTCATCCATGTCTCCTGCATAAAGTTTAAATGACGCTTTCCAGATAAGTAAAAGAAGTGACTTCCTTTAAATTTCTTCCACTAATAGCAATATTCGTAACCGATTATAATACTATTTCATTGAATTTTTCATTTTCCCGTCGATTGTTTGGACCGAAATGCTCGGTCTCAGGTTGACATGTCGGCTTCTTGTGCAGATGCTTCGACGATGTCTGGGCATTTAATTAGTATACAATTGGTGGATGGTGGCTAGCAGTGGAATCCAGGATGCGCATTTCGTCCTATTTGGGACTCGTCAGCTGGATGTACCTGCATTTCTCAGTGGGTGATGATGTTCCCAACTAGGGGCAATGGGTTAGAGCCTCGGTGGGAACATCATCACTCACTGAAGAATGCAGGTACATCCAGATTACGAGACCCAAATAGGACGAAATGCGCATCGTGGATTCCATTGCTAGTCACCACCCACCAATTAAATACTGATTATAATACTGGTTAAAAAATCACTTACGATAACTAAAATGTTCAGAAATTTAACAGAGCCTTGAATGACTGTTAGAACAACAGATGAAAATGTAAAGGTGAGAGAATGAAGGAAACCAGAGACTGCATATCATGTTTTGTCTTCTAAAGTGTTTTTTCTCTGCATAAATAATCCTGCTTTGTTTGATTTTACAATGATATTATCACTTCGTCTAATGGATCTGTATGTGGCGAAATTTCCCCACAAATACTTCTAACACCTCTGGGGCGTCATACGTCTAACAAGTGCATTACTAATCTAGAAATCATTTGTTTTCTGTTTTCATATAAAAAATTAAAATAGTAATCTGGTACCGATTGTAGGTATTCCTGATGAACTGTAATGCACTTTTTGAGGTTAACTGACGAAAAGGCCCACTGATATAAGTACTGTTCTTCACAATATATTAATCACCATCGTTTATTATCACCTTGATAAGAAGACAGTAAAGGTATTCACTTACTAATGACAACAATATAGAGAGATAAAACTCCCATAGATGGGCTGTGTGATATGACTGATCTCATAGTTAACTATTTTTCGGTGTGAATACTTGAAAAAAATCTAACCAAAACGATGATAAGCATATTCCGTTGATAATAGAGTGGGCAATAATCTCGCCAAACTCTTTTTCCAAAAACTAGTATACAGAAATCACTGAGCTGTACAAAATGTTAAACAAGACATTAATCTCGATATCCAGTTATACATACGTCTTTAATGAAATTTTATTGATATTAAAAAATATAGACAGCAAACTGAACAACAACAATCTTGTTGTAATGGTGTATCGGTTTCAGCGACTACTTATTTCTCTTGAATAAATGGAAAGCAGTCATCTGAAACAACTACAGAAGGCCATAAATAGAAAATAAAGTGGATAGTAGAAAATAGAAAAATATTCACCATACAGACAGGAATAATAGAAATATACTTTTTCACTTTTTTAAAAGAAAAGAAAACCAAAATGTGGGTTGACAAGACTACCTTTTCTAAAAATAGAAGGTTGATAAAAAAAAGTAGACTACCGCTTCCTTGAGTTGCATAAGTATGTTTTGTTTGATAACTTCTCGCCAAACAAAAAGCGTAACATATTTTCATCTGAGATGGATTAATCCAGTGATAACTTACAAGTTTCTCACTGAGCTCACGTATAAAACAGTTCATGGAACTAAAATCTATTAGCAGTACGCACCCACTGGGTTACAAGGCGAGCTCGTAGACCATTGAGCCACTTTGACCCAATCCCAATTGTCCTTGAATTCTAACTTCTGCCAATTCACGACATAGCGCGACCATTTCGCAATGTCTTCTTCGATGAGTTACTGTCTCATCTTCAACCTACTGTACCCTACTGGTCACGGCTTCCCATTAGAACCCCAGGTTAACTGCCTGAATAGGGCCAATCGCTAGTGAGCATCAGATTAATTTTCAAGTATTGGTTTTGTAGGGATTTTGTTTGATTGCATGGAGGATTTCATCGTGAGGTGATATCAGTTAGAGAAGCACTGCAAAACCAGTACTCCCAGGATTTCCAGTGCTTCTCTTACTGATGTCAGCTCATGATGAAGTTCTCCGTGAAATCAAACAAAATCCCTACAAAACTAATACTTA